ACCTAGAGGCTGGGTGAACCCCGGTAACCGCCCGAAAGCGAGTTTCCTATCGACTGCGTAACTCGCTCCCTGTCTAGGAGGAGACATTAACTTAGAGACTCAACGGCAACCAGTAAGCTTAACTAGACATACGATAAGTACTCGGTTGGCAACGCTACATGGTAGGAATGATACACATGGACACATAACTAACTCCACATACCTCGGAATTATAAAAACCAAGTTCAAAACCTTTAAACCATAGTCGCTGAAGTACGGAGGTTGAAACAGAACCCAGAACATTCAGAGGTCACAGCAAACAGTTTAACTACTTTGTCATGGAAACCCCCATAGTAACTTATATATATAAACTGTGACACATCAAATGTACTGTTAAGAATTGAAAGAAAAGAAAACAAATTAAATGACACGATTACCTCACCAGAAGATCAACATAGGATGAGGTAAACTGGAGTAACTGGCAACAGGAAACGGAGGGGAAGCGAAACGAGGGTAACTGGGTGAATCTGAAACCGATCAGATTCATAAAACAAAGGAACAGGCTAATCAGAAATTATTGGTAGTACACGGAATAAAGGAAAGAAAGGAGAAGAAGAAGAAGAAGAAGAAGAAGAAGAAAGAGGAGGAGGAGGAGGAGAAATATGGTGAAAATAAGATGTATAGAAGTAGGAAAGAATATTGCAAGCAGGAGCCGACAACCTCACAGCTATCTTCTCTGGACCTGCTTCGTAATAGTTGGTTTGATATCAGTCCAGTGTTTGTGTACAGTAAAGTCGGCACACTGGAGGTCTTATCCAACAAAATATGTTCAACAGAGCAAGTCTCTTTTGCTGATTCAGTTTTGTTATTTAGCTGGAGGAAGATGAGTTTTAGTTGTATTATGTTTAACTTTTTTGAACGTAATTATTCATTTCTGTGATATTATCAAGATATATCTTTATGTGACTTGTATACGTAACCATTACCACTGATGATGGGAAACTAATGTATATTAGACATGTTTTTGTATGCAATAAATCATGTTTTGTTTACTCACTGCCTAGCGTGTTATATTTGTATGTGTGTATGCGTCTCCTTCTCTCTCTGTCTTTATCTGTCTCTCTCTCTCTCTCTCTCTCTCTCTCTATCTGCGTGTGTGTGTGTGTCTGTCTTTATCTGTGTGTATGCGTCTCCTTCTCTCTCTCTCTCTCTCTCTCTCGCTCTCTCTCTCTTTGTCTCTACCTTTGTCTGTGTATCTCTCTGTCTTTATCTGTGTGTATGCGTCTCCTTCTCTCTCTCTCTCTCTCTCTTTGTCTTTACCTGTGTCTGTGTATCTCTCTGTCTTTATCTATGTGTGTATGCGTATCCTTCTCTCTCTCTCTCTCTCTGTCTTTATCTCTGTGTGTGTTTGTGTGTCTCTCTATCTCTCTTTTGCACGTTCTCGTTCTTTGTGTGTATCTGTGTGTGTTTACAATTTACGTAAGAAAGTTTAATATGTGATCAGCGCCTGTTCTTAAATGAGGAGAGTAGACGGCAAGAACATTTAGACATGCTAAGTTCAGTATGCAGAAGAAATAACACGAATTCAAATAGTTAGGAAGCGTATTCTCGGAGGAAAGGACATTAGATCGGGAAATGGAAACAAAATGCCAACGAGCCAGTTCACTGATATACCAACTGACATCGTTATTAAGACATGTTAAGATAAGTATAAGCGTCAAGGAACAGATTATAAACAGCATGTCCATACTGTGCTACCATTGCCAGACTTGGGCATTATCAAAGACTAACCTGCGTAAAATGAACACATGTGCAATGAGATGCCTGAGAAAAACCGCCAACTTAACCATCCAAGACAAAGCTAGAAATGATATCAGACAGACTGTAGGAACAACACCAGGCAGCAAATTCATTAAGAAACAGAAGATCAAATGTTTGGTCATTGAGTAAGAATACAGCCAGAACAACAGCAACCAACACAGGCGCTACACGTGAACAGATCTGAATTGAAAGCAAGAAGCCGCCATTGGAGAAGATGGATTGACGACATTAAAGAGCTTCCACATCGACACGGAATGATCATAGCCATTGCTGCTTACCATGCAATGGCTCGCCTAACTGTTCCTCCCAGCAAACTCTTAACGGTAAAAGAGGAAGTTGATGATAATAATGATAAGTTTTCAATATTTGTTTTTACAATTGTGAATTTAAATAGCTGTGTGCAACAAAACAAGTTACGAGTTGACTTGAGTTGATTCTAGAAACGACATTACAGCACTCGGGGCATTCTCATAAGCGCACCCTCCCCTTCTTCAGCAGCCAGCGCTGAGTTCCAGCACCAATGGAAAAATTTTGCCTTTCCCCTGAGCGTCAAGTATCGACCAGAACTTCTCATCAGTCCCCGCTACATCACTCCCCGCTACATCACTCCCCGCTACATCACTCCCCGCTACATCACTCCCCGCTACATCACTCCCCGCTACATCACTCCCCGCTACATCACTGCCCGCTACATCACACCCCGCTACATCACACCCCGCTACATCACTCCCCGCTACATCACTCCCCGCTACATCACTCCCCGCTACACCACTCCCCGCTACATCACTCCCCGCTACATCACTCCCCGCTACATCACTCCCCGCTACATCACTGCCCGCTACATCACTCCCCGCTACATCACTCCCCGCTACACCACTCTCACCAGAATGTGATGATCCATTAGCTCCTCCGAACTGTAGAGGTAAAGGTAAAGTCGGGAGATGTGAACCAGTCTCATTGCACACAGTTATAAAGCATTATTGCTCTGCCACCGGTACAAACAGCTGATAAGAAACTGTCAGATTGTGTCGCCTTCCGCACGAGACTCCGTAGCTACAGCGACATTCATCCATTTACTACATAGTGTCAACTCTGGTACCCATTTCCTAAAGGCTGGGTGAACACTGGAAACCGTCTGGTTTCCAACACCCCCCGCGAGTCGCAGCTGGATTTGAATGCAAGTCTCCTATCGACTGCGCTAAAGCGGCGCCTGACCACGTGTGCTTTATCATGCATCAGTATTTCAACAAGTTGTACAGAGCCAGCAAGGCTATCTGCCTGTTCATTTTCCAACACATCTGCCTAACCCAGAAGAAAGATCGGAACAATGATCCTAACCTGTGACCCCCTAAACGTGTCTGTCTTGACCTTCCCCAGACTGCTTTTTGAGTCAGTTACAGTCACGATGTGTGTGAGTGTTTGTGTGTGTGTTTGTTTGTGTGTATGTGTGGTGTTCTCTAACCTGCAGAAAGCTGCAGTGACTGCCTCCACCCCCTTTCTTTGAGACAGTCAGCAGTCCTAGTCCTTAATCAATCACTGAGAGGATCAAGTACTGACACAGTGTGAAAAGCATTCTCAGCTCTCTGTCCATTGCAGCCATAGTCTTAAGTGCATTCAGTCCCTTTTGGTATCTTGTCTCAACCGTCTCCACATGGTCCTTGAAGGATAGTCTTTTGTCAAATATAATTCCTAGTAACTTCAGTTTGCTCTCTCTGTTGACGTTTCTACCATCTATCGTGAGACTTGGCACATCAGCTCTAACATTCTTTTCGTCTAGTAAACGTCACGAAACATACGCCTTTTCTGGGTGGAAGACAGCACTCATTTATGTATACCGGTCATTCACTTTGTTTACTATAGCGTGTAGCTCCGGCGCTGTTTGTGCTCTATCCCTCCCCAGCCTGTATGTGAGAATATCACCTGCAAATGTCAGTAACCTTCCAGCCCCTGAGAGTTCCAGCCTGCAATCTTGCTCCTATACACGTTGAAGAGCACAGGTGAGATTGCAAGTCTCTGTGCGTCCCGCGGATAAAATATACGGTAAACCACACAGTTACTGAAAGGAACAAACATACTCACAATTTTGACATTCTGCATCTTTGTAATGCAAAAAGTGAAATTACTCAAATTTCACACAAGAATACCTTAGGGTTCCACCAATCAATTGACACATTTTCTGCATCTGAGTCACGATAGTTTTTAAGAGTAGGCATTTCCCTTTAGTATGGTGTGTGGCCTCCTCTTGTGTGGATCAGTGACAGGCATCTCCTGGACATAGATGCGATCAGATGTCTTATGTGGGCCTTTGAGATCCCTGCGCACTCATCGTGAAGTTCCTGGAACAGATCACGACCATTGGCTGGAGCAACGTTTCGGTGACAAACACGTCTTCGCAGCTCATCCCACAGATGTCTATTTGAACTCATGTCTGCAGACAGGGATTGCTAGGAAAGGGTTTGAATGGTATTGAGAAAATATATATACCCGAACGAAAAGTATATTAGCAAGCTTCACAATATAACAAATACAAACAAAACGTGAACGTTGCGGCTATTGAGCCTTCATCAGCATACATGGTATTGGTATTGGTATTGGCACCAAGGAACTGCCTGGTCAGCTGTGCAGAATGGGGTCTGGCGTTGTCCTGTTGAAAAAGATGTCTGTTGGCATCCCAAAATGGAAGGATATGTTGTCCTACTACTAGGCGCGTCCACC